TCACCTGTGAAGCTCTGTGGTCCTGGACTTTTGTTTGTTGAGAGTTTTCTAATTTCTGATTCAATTTCAGTGCTGGTAATTGGTCTGTTTATATTTTCTGTTCCTTCCTGGCTCAGTCTTGGGAGATTGTGCCTTTCTAAGAAATTACCCGTTTCTTCTAGGTTGTCCATTGTATTTGTGTAGTTGCTCATAGTAGCCTCTTTTGATCCTTTGTATTTCTTTGGAGTTAATTGTAACTTCTTTTTCATCACTGATTTTATTGATTTGGGCCCTCTCCCTTTTTTTCTTGATGAGTCTGGCTGAAAGTTTATCAATTTTCTTTATCTTTTCAAAGAACCAGCTTTTAGTTTCATTAATCTTTTCTGTTTTGGTTTTTTTTTAGCCCCTATTTCATTTATTTCTCTTCTGATCTTTATGTTATCTTTCTACTAATTTTGGGTTTTGTTTGTTCTTCTTTCTCTAATTGCGCTAGATATGAGGTTAAGATTGATAGCCTTTGCAACAATTTGGTTTCAGTACAAGGTATCAGTGGATAGTATTAGAGCCCCAAGTCTGCCCCTTTATACACAATAACTTCATTTATAATAAAATAAATATCACAAGTTGCTGGAGAAGTTACTGATTTTCAACAAGTGATTCTAGGAAAATTGGTTACTGGGGACAGGGGAGGATAAGGCTATATCTTCACCGTTAATCGTAATAAATTACAGAAGGAGCAAGTGGTTAATATTAAAAAGAAAAATATAATAAAAGAAATATAGGTAGAGTTAACAGTGGGATCTGAAAAGACTTTCTAAAGCTAAAAGTAATGGAAAATCAGAGGAAATGGTTGATAATATTTGATTATATATAAATTTAGAAACATTTATATGTCAAAACATAAAATTAAAAGATAAGGGACACCTTAAAGGAAATTTTTGCCACTTTATATGTGTCCATATAATAGACAAAGTTGCTCTTACTATACAGAGAATAAATGTTATGAATAAATAAGAAAACACTTAACATTTCAGTAAAAAATGAGCAAATGTGAACAAATAAAACCATAAAAATGCAAATAGAAAAATGTGTATACTTAAAGCTAATGTAAATATAAATTTAAATAGTACAGATTAAATAATGATGAAACATCATTTTTACCCCTATCAAACTAAGAAAGTTTGAAATTTAAAACTTAAAGTTGGTAAGAGTATAATGAAACCATACAACTTATACATTACTTACTGTAAGTATGTGAACTTTTTCAGAAAAGAGTTTTTACTCTTTGATCTCATAATTCCATTCCTGATGATCTATCCTAAAATAATGGAGTTCCATATTAGTCATTTCTCGCTGTGTAACAAATCACTCCAAAACAAAGTGGCTTAATAAGCATTTATTATCGCATGGTTTCTGTGGGTCAGGAATTCCTTGCAGCATAGCCAGGAACCTCTAGTTAAGGTTCCCTTGCAACATTACAATCAAGGTGCTGACCAGAGCTGCAGCTGTCTTAACGGCTCCACTATGGGGGACTCGGCTTCCAGGCTCGCTCAGGTGGCTCTTGGCAGGTCTCAGGTCTTTGCCAGCTGTTGGCTGAAGACATCAGGTCCTTGCTGTATGGACCTCTCCATAGAGCTGCTTACAACGTGGTAACTTACCTTCTTGAAGAAGAGATGGAAGTCATGTTTTTGTAATCTTATCTTAGAAGTAACATCTCATCCCTTAGGCCCTGGTCGTATTTACTAGAGAAAGCCCTAGTTCAGCCCACACCCTGGGGAGAGGATCACAGGAGGGCATGGATACCAGGAGATGGGCTTATTGGGAGTATTTTAGATACTCTTTCCCACACAGGTTGATATACCGAGGTTTTTAAGCATAGGTTTTTAAAAATTTTATAATAGCAAAAAAAGTGCATAATCACGTGCAAAGAAACAATTAAGGAAGCAATTTAAATGTTCTACAACAGAAGAATGGTTGGAGTGTTCTCTGTATCCTCAGAGTGATTGTGTAATTGTATAATAATAGTAATGTCTACCTTTCTGAGTGTCAGTCATATGCTAGGCATTTGCTAAGATATTTACAAATATTTCTGATCCTAACAACAACCATGTAAGGTAATGGTTATTATCCTCATTTTACAAATGAAAAGGCTGATACTCAGAGACTCGGCACAGAAATGTCGTTCTAGAGTTACCTGGCTTCAAAGCCCAGCGATCACACTGCCAGTTATGTATGCTTATGAAGAATATTAAATGACACGAGGAAGGCTTACAAAACGGTTTTTACAAAGTGATTCATGTGCACATTTTATTTACATGTAAGGAAAAAAAGAATAGCCAAAAATGTTATCTTTCAGTGGCAGAATAATAGAATTTTTTTCTTTAACCTTTTATTCTAAATCTTCTGCATTCTATATATATTCCCTTTATTATTAAAAACCAGAACACTTTGAAAAGCAGTTCTGCTCCCTCTGCTCCCAAGGGAAGACCACTAGCAAGACTTGTACACACCATTCTTTATGAAATTGAAATTGTACATGTGGTAATGAATCAATTCCATTTATTCTGCTCTTCCAGGTTACTGATCTCTCCTTACCGAACTATCTGATGGCATCTTCGATTGGGCTGCTTCCCACCCAGCTCCTGAATTCTTATTTGGGTACCACCCTGCGGACCATGGAAGATGTCATTGCAGAACAGAGTGTTAGTGGATATTTTGTTTTTTGTTTACAGGTGAGTTTAAGACCAAGGATTGTCTTTTTTGTTTCCTTTTTGTGTGACATTACTGATTTAAATCTAGCAAATTTCATTGAAAATAATTTAAGAGATTTTTTCCTTTTTACATCTTTTCTTGTTTTTTCAATACTACTTCATATTTGGCAAAATTTACATTTTTAATTGAGTGGATATGTGGAAATATATAGAACTGAATTGACACTTACTGAAAATTCTCTTAAACACAAAAATGGGAATGACAAAAATAGGGTTGTTTTTGCAGTGATTATTTTCAAAGTCATCACTAAACCAGATATTCTGAGTTTGTATGAAGTGTTGTTAATTCTGTGTTTCTAAGATAATTTTAATGAGATTTGGTGGGGTTAGGTTTTTATCTTAATTTCCCTTCAACTTTGAAAGTATCGAACTCTCTTCTATTGGTATTTTTTAGGTTATTATACTGGCAGTGTAAATTTCTTTCTAATACAGTTTGATGTGAACAAAAAATTTTTTTAGAAAGTAATGCTTTATAAAAAGTGTAAAAGTATTCCATTATAAGTCCAAATAGTATTCGTGTAATAGAGTATTATTCCTCTGTAAATTGTAGTACAGTTTGGGGTTCATACAATTCCATGTAAGAGGTTGATAAAAGAGGAAAATCTTGCCAGGTAGGCAGATTTATTCAGTGCCTTAAATTACACACAGGAAGAGTTAAAATTCGTTTGCTTGTGATACATCTTATTCCTGAGACTTACTAAGATATAAAATCACCGTAATTTTCGTTGATTTAGTAAGACGATGATGAGCACTAACAGGTACTGGATGTTTTATAGGCCATGTGTTTAAGCTCATTGACTGCCTCTACTTTCTTGAGCGAATTGTGCTCATCTCTTTCCAACTCTGCTTTCAGTAATGTCACATTGGTAGCTTGAAATTGGTCATGACGGGGTATTTATAGTATGAAATATGGCAAGTGCTCTACAGCAGGCCTCCCCATCTCTGATCCCTAAGAGCTAGTTAACCAGCATATCACTGGACAGCAATTTGCCTGACAGCAGAGCTGCAAGGGGCAGGAGCGGGATTTGAACATGGGCAGCTGGTCCTGGAGCCCATGCGCATAGCCAGTAGACTGCGGTCTGCAGGCAGGTGGTACTAATGAGACGGCTGCCTTGACTTCCTGGCCCCTTGAACTGTAAGTTTTAACTTACACTGTTATTGAATGTATGGTATCATATTGCAAATTTACTGTTAGTGGTGGTATTCTCAAGTTTTTGAGGTACTATTTTGTATTAAAAATTCTAAGATAAATAAAACGAGAGTTAATTTTCTTTGTGCTTATGCAGTACAAGTTCATAAAACAAAGTGAGCCCAGGACTATTCACATTAAACTATAAATAAAGCTTCTCAATAAAAGGGCTTGATTTAATAAAAATGTAATATTTTTTCAGGAAATCATTTTTAATTTTTCTTCACTGTTTTTTCTTCAGTATTACATTTTTTTAAGATAACCTAAATCTAGATTTAGAGTTTTTGTTAGTTTGTTTATTTTTATTAATGTGGCATGCTAATCACATATTAAACTTTCTATGCATTATATAGTATTTATGTTAATAATTTACATTTATAATCATCCTATACTGTAAGATTCTGATGTACAGAATATAACTACTATATAAATACTGTAAGATTCTGATGTACACTACATTCTCAGACTGATTTTTTGTAGTATATTTAAGCGTATTTTAAGCATATTTTATGTTTTTCTAGTTTACTGAAAACAATTTGAAACATCTTTTTTTTTAAATTGAAGTATAGTTGATTTACAATGTGTTAGTTTCTGTTGTACAGCTTAGTGATTTGGTTATATATATATTCCTTTTCATACTCTTTTTCATTGTAGGTTATTACAAGGTATTGAATATAGTTCCCTGTGCTGTGTATAGTAGGACCTTGTTATTTGTTTTATATGTAGTATTTAGTATCTGCAAATCCCAAACTCCCAATTTATGCCTCCTCACCCTTCTTTCCCTACTAATAACCATAAGTGTGTTTTCTATATCAGTAAGTCTTTGAAACATCTTTTTTTCTTAACATTGTAATTAGAAGTCCTCATTTTTAGTAGCTTTCAGAAGATTTACACTACTTGATACTTTATATTTCTATGAATATTAGTAAATTACTCAACTGTAATCAGTGGAGTTGTAATAAAATGAAATAGCTCATGCATTTGTCAGTGATGCTTCTTAAAATATAGGAGGCTCTTTTTTCTAGCGATTTCTGACCCTTTTGCTTGAGTTGGCAAATTAAAGCTTAGAATACAAGGGAGGAAAGGCAAAATATCTTTTAGCCCAGACATTTACAAAAACCACCACCACCACAACAAAAGGATGAAGGCATATTTATGCTTTAATATGATACATTGATGTTACTTATAGTTTAATTTGATTGAGGGAGGATTTAATTTAGCTTACAAAAGATACACAGGAGAATAAAAAAAGTCATTTGATGGGGAAAATTAGCATAGAAAAAAGGGTGAAATATAGGTTAAAATTAGTAATGTATCATGAGGTTCCTCATATTTGCTAGAAATGAGCCACAAATTTGCCACCTGTTACAGCCACCTAAAGTGATCTGCAGTGTCTGTAAAATTAAAGCAATACCAAATAGACGTTCAGAGGAAAGCCGAACTGTTTCTTGTATTCATGTAGATTCCATGGTTTGTCAATTCAGCTAATCTGTTCCACGCCCTGTATTTTTTTGTGTGTACTCATCAGCCAAAACCCCAATCCTGGATAAATCCAAGTTTTGATCTGCTTTGCATCTGCCCTTTTAGGGAAGTCATGCAACCAAGCCGACTGATGATATTTCATTTTCCTAACCTTCAGCTGGTTTCTCAGCACTGCCCTGTATTCTGTCTGTTCCTTTGTCTTCTCGTTTCCCCATTTTCACTTAATGACTGTTTCAAACTTAGCTTCACTCTCTTCACAGTTTTCTCCTCCTCCCTCTACTTCCCTCTTCATTCTCAATAGATGACCTCTCCTGCTTAACAGAAGAATCAAAGGCCTGTAAATGGGAAACCCCTCAATTTCCGACTAAGAAATTTACTGACCCCCTTGTGTCCTGCTTGTACACTCAGCCTGCTCTTCCACTAACGGTGGAAGAAATCCCTTTCAGTGTGTGCCTTTGTGTATAAAGCTTGTCCTTCTGCTTGTGTTTGATTCTTTTGCTTTAACAGGGAAACTTTTTTAAAAGTTTTTTTTTTTCTTGTTGTGGGATTTTTTTTAACACTTCACTAGGCTGTTGGGAAGAGTCGGTACCCTAGGCCAGGCCCTAGGATGCAGAAAGCATCTGGGGAGAACCCCATGTAAAGATGTAGCCAGTTCACCCTTGTTAGGGACCTGAAAAACTTTTCACAGGTTCTAAACTTATTTTCTGTGGCCTTGCCAAATCCTTCCCTCAAGCTTTCATCACTAACCTTCTCTAAACCAGATACACTTTCCAGTTCTCATCGTAGCAACCTAAGACTCTTGGCAATGCCTTTTTAAAACACTTTCTTTTCCTAGCTCCTTTGATAACCATATCTTCATCTTTTCCCATCTTTGCCTGGCTCTTTTATTAGCACCTCCTCCTCTCTTCACCCCTAAATTGGTCTTCCTCTGGATTCTACCCTGACCTTTCTGTTTTCACTGTGAAAACTTTCCTTCTTGGTAAAGGTGGCTGCAATGATACTTACCGTAATGGCTCCCGTATTCGCCTCTTCAGCTTAGCCTGTTTTCCACACCTTTAGACCCATGCACTGAATTGCTTTGGATAGCTGATAGGTACCTCAGATTCATCATGTCCTAAGCAGAGAACTTAACATCTCATCCACATCCTCCCCCAGTTACTTATCTAACATTTTCTCTATGTCTTTTTATGGTCTCACCATCCACATAGTATCAAACATAGGGTATTCGATAAGTATACCTTGTGTTTTTAAGAGAGCTAACATGTTAGGGAACAAACAAGATTTAAAAACCTACCATTAAAATACCTAATTTGCTTAGAATTGTACCGAGTAATGGGTACGCGCTCAGTGGTGCCCCTTGTGCAAACTCCAGGTTCCCCCTTCTGCTTCTCCTTCCCCACCCCCAGTAAGCTGTCCTTCCCCACAGCCCTGACAATTGTATGTAGAATACTTTTCCCATAAAACTGTTAAAATTATAGGTAGGGCTAATTGAAACTATTATATTTTAGAATCACTATGCTTAGAGCAGCCTTTGGAAGCTTGTTGGGACATTAAACAACACCTATTGAGAATATTTGCTCCAAACTCTAAAGAATCGCTTTACAAATGAATTTGGAGTAAATACCATTTAGAAGATGCACAGACATTCTGCTGAATTGTATGTAGAGTGTTCAAGCCCAGAGGGACACAACTTTTGGACAGTGGGAGAAGCCCACGTGGTTTAAAGGGGCTCACCTGAAATCAGGTCACTAGTGAGTGGCTAAACTAAGACCAGAACCTCGTTTCAGTTTGATGCTTTTTCTAGTTATCCCTTTGACTGGCATTTTTTTGTTGTTGTTCACTCATTGTCATGTTTTCCTTTTTCCCTAAGTATAGACAATTTCATGTTCATGGTTTCTCGGTAATTTCTTTTGAAGCTTATTGGCATTTCATTTTTTAAAAATGTTTCTTAATGGTTTTAATTCAGGCTGCAGCAGGCAGGTCATTTGCAAACAGTAGTGCTTCTCTGTAAGTGGGCTTAGAGGTCCGTGGTCATAGCTCTGCACAGACAGGCTACTGCACTAGTTACACTGAGAAAGTTTAGCCGGCTCTCAACCTCTGTTGTAGAATTCGTTTTTACTCCTGGAAGGAAGCTTTTTGATACAAAGAGGCAGGCTTGACTTGTGTCAGACAAGCATCATTTATACGGACTAAAAGGGACGTATGCCTGCCTTGGATCAACCTAATACTATAGAATGGTTACCCTGTAGATCGTGGTTCTCACCCAGCAGCCAAGGAAAGAGTAAATGACTAACTGCCGGTAAACTATTTAAACATTTTTACCTAATTGTATCTGAGATGCATCCTGTTGGAACATTCCTAAACCAAATACTCATTGGATTTATTTCTCCCTTTTTTCTATGTAAAATAATTGTTAACTGTAATGTTTTATTTTTATTCACAGATTATTATAAGTATAGGCCTCATGTTTTATGTAGTTCATCGGGCTCAAGTGGAATTGAATGCAGCTATCGTTGCTTGCGAAATGGAACTGAAAACTTCTCTGGTTAAAGGCAATCAACCAAATATCAGCGGCTCTTCATTCTACAGCAAGAGGACCCTGACGTTTTCTGGAGGTGGACTCAATGTTGTATGATTCTAGCGAAACGTATGATTGTCAGGGGCCTCATGTGCTGTCCAGGGTCGAGCGGTCTCCTCACTAGTGGGCAGACGCAAGTTCTAATTGTATTAAGGCACAAAAAGCAAAACTGACTAGTTTTTAAATTGCAAATTTTTTTAAAGGAAGAACCATTTTCTGGATATGTAAGTGTAAATGCAGTTTTGACTGCACCTCTTTATCGTTTACTGTGCCCATAATGGCCTGTAGGTCTGCACTTTAGTTTTATTTTACTCTTTGTTCTCTTTCTGGGTACTTATGAACAGAGAAATAATCCAAATATTTTTCTGCATAGTGTCTTTATTTATAAAGTCCATAAATAGTTGTATGCATCTTTCCTACATATAAAGATGAGTAAAAGTATGCAATTTTAAGTGTGTAATGTTACTGGATGTTCTTTGCTTCAGTAGTCTTTCCAGAAAGGATAAACAGATTTTTTGGGGGTTTGGGGTTGTTTTCTTTTAATTGTTTTAGGTGGGACCACTTTGCTTCCCTTCTCCTTACTAGTTAGAAAATAGACATGAACTTTTGTTTGAATGTATTTTTGCAAGGATCATACTGTTGCAGGGCCATTTATACCCATACACACAAGCTTAAATCCTACATTGTGGGACTCAAGTGCTCTTAAGATACCTTTTTTAGTTTCACTGTGTAATACGCAAAGCAAAAGGGAAATTACTCAATGGGTGGTGGCTCAGATTAGAACTTGTGTTCTAATGTCATTACATTGGCTTTACCCTTCTTAGGTCTTTCATCAAAGGGCTGTCCTGCAGTCTTATTTAAACGTTTTATTAAAATAAACTTCTTTTCCTTTTTACATTCGCGATTAGGCTTTGAAATAAAGATGTTATCCTCTAAAGTGGTGGGTTTGCTGTCATTGAAGGTGTCTCTCGGGTGGCCTTGTTTGATCAAAATGCCTTTTTAAAAAAACCAAGCTTTAAAATCATGTTTATAATTCCATTGAGTACATATGTATTTGTCCCCATAGTCTTCAGCTTTAAAACTATAAATATAATGTTAACTTAATGCCCAGATTTGTATTGTTTGTTTTACTTTAGGTTTATTTTGTTTGTTTTTTTTTTGGTACTTGTTTTTCTCTGCTAAGACTCAGGAATTCTGAAATGTGAATTTTAAGTCTCTCTATTCTTTCTCCTGTAGCATGAATTGAGTGTATTTATTCATAGCACTTACGTGGATAGCATGTAATAATTTGGCATATGATTCATATGACATGTTATTCATTTATCACCTTATATTTTTTAAGTAGTTTAATTGTCAACTTAATGATTAGTTTTTCACAGTGGAGATTATAGATATGAATGCAAATTTTCTGATAGGTATCTCTTTTTTTAGCTATGAAAATGCCACCTTATCAGAGACCTCCCTTTTTGCCTTTTCATTAGGGTGAAATCCTTGCCTTGATTTACTAAAGTGCAAAAGAATTATTTGGAAGTATAGTAAAGATGCATTTGATCATTTTAATTAATTTTTTGCCTATCGCAGGTATAATTGTTTTCCTTTCCTTCATAATGCATAATAAGCGTTTTCACCTTTGAGTCACAGTGAAGTTCATTTATACGTCCGTGCTAAGACCTCAGTGCAAATGATCTGCTAGGCACCTGGATCCACAGCACTTTATTGGCCTACAAATCCTTCCTTCTTTTATTGGTAGAAAAAATATATAGTATTAGAATCTTCTTACTCTTTTTTGAATCCTAATTATTTGTTTAGTTATTTTTAAAGTTATTTTAGTTTAATTATCTCAATGAACAATACATCTGACTTACTTTTTTCTGTCTTACTTGATGGTATTTCTCTTGTGCTTCTTGTTTGTTGGTTAGTTTTTGTTAAAGAACTCAGTAATTAAAGATCACTGCTTTCATATAATTGTGTTACACTACATGGATTTTGAAGTGCATTTTATTTACTTAGCATTTTGTAACTTAAATAATTTCACCAAATGAATACCTTTTGGTAGTTCGTAATGAGTTCTTCCAGGTGCATTTTGCTTGGTACTTAAATAAGTAAAAAAAAAAAAAAAAAAAGTAATTTTTCTGTATTCTGCCAACATAATTTTCTATAATAAAATCATCCATTTTTACTAAAAATAGTATGGATTTACTATTTCTAAGATACTAAAACTGCAATTTTCCTTTTTTCGGTTTTAAATCATTTCCAGCCTCCAAGCAGACTACAATCCTTTATAGTCATGCTGTTGGATAGCTGCATTTGATTGCTGAGTTTTCAGATGTGCTGTCTGTAAATTGTGCAAAGCATCGCCATGCCTTATTCACTCCATGTTTAACCCTGCATCCCAGATTTCTGGCAGCAACAAATTTCTACAGGATCCTCTTATGTTGCCCAATTATTGCCTTCAGTCAGAGTATATATTTATAAAAGAAAATGTTTTGGATTTCTCAAACCAGTTAAGTGCAGTATAAAATTGCTTTATATGCATATTTTTAAAAGCACACAATATACCTAATATCCAAATCTGATGAAAGATATGTTCCGTTTTTTTAAATTCTTTGGGCCTTTTTCTTAGTTTTCCATGTTTTCCGACTTATTATTAATGATTTTATTTACTCTTTGCCAAGTTTTGTCATGTAAATTATTTTCGAACAGCAGCACCTCTTTTTAAAAACAGACATAATAATTTACAAATGCTTTCATGCCCATTTTCATTTGACCATCTGATTTGTGAAATAACTTGAAATATGTTCTCTTTGGTTTGTGAAAATAATAGAAACCAAATTTCTGTCATTAGAATGTGTATTTTGAGTTTATATTCAGAAATGATTTTGCGGTTTTGTTCAGAGCTAGCCATACTCTCTTTTTATGCACTTTGTAACCAACTACAAACCTTTCTAAGATGACTTTACCCTGATGGGTCAAGCATCTTGACTATAAAACCTTTCCCTCTTTGAGAAGCTATTCAGTATCTAGTCTTACCTACTGTTGCTGTTACTAAGTGGTGGGGCTACAAGCATACCCCAGCGTTCCTGGGTTTGTTAATGTGCAATACTGATTTGAACTATTCATAGGAAAGGTGCTATTGGTTACATATGTCAATATGTGTGAGACTTTATTTAGAAGCTTAAAGTTACTAGATATGTGCCAGGTTGATGATGTCGGTAATCCTGAGATGTATGGTAAATCCATGCTGTTCAAAACCAGTCAGCATTTGCGGAGAAGAGAGGTTTAAAAAAGAGAGATTTAATGAGGACCTCAGAAACAATGTTGACCTAGGTTGATAACTTCAGTGATGGAATTTTCTTTCAGACACAGGCCACTCAGTGTGTCAGAATGATGGTCAGAATAACACTGGTTTTTAAATTGGATTTTGTTGATTTCTGTTACAATAAACTGTTTTGGATGTAATTTTTTAAAGGTCATGTCTTTAAGCTGAAAAGACTGTAAAGGGAATGGAATCACGTGTTCTACAGGATATTTAACTAAGGAGTTCCTCACATATATTGAACATAAGCCATTAACTAATTCCACAACTCAATAGTAACTTGGTACTTCTGAATTGCAAAGTGATTGCTGCAAACTATTTTCTAGGGTAGCTAAAGATTTAAAACATAATTCTAAAGGCAAATCAGTAAAATCTCTTGATTATTGGTATCCCAGATCACTTCTGTGCCTGAGAAAATAAAAGGTTATGTTTTATTTTCCTTCTCTCTTCTCTTTCTTTCCCTCTATAATGAATGGATATAGAGACATGTGCCATGAGGAGGGAGCAATTCAGGAGGGAAGGAGGAGGGCATGCTGGTAACTGAGCCCAGATGGGGTGGTTACAATTACAGCAGGGACCTGTGGAGAAATGATTCTGATGTCTTACACTGGCACTTGATCTTCAGTGGTTTTTTTTCCTAATACCCCTAGTCATGAAATGCTACCTGCCAAACAATTGTTAGTCATTTGTCCCAACTGCAGTACTGTTTGTGATGCCTTTCATAATAATGTTAAAAGACTTCTACCAATCTAATTTCCTGTTGATCTCTACCCTATTTCCAAGACTGTTTCCTCGAGGGCCCATTCTTTCATCTTAAAACATAAAAAAAAAGTAAAAAAAAAAAGCATTTGTTCTTACTTATTTGTAGCAGATCCCATTACTATTGTTACTAAGTCCAAACTTGTTCTCTGTCTGCTCGCCACACGACAGGCCAGTAAATCGGGAGATGAGGTGTTGGGGCAGGAATAGCAACTTTATTCAGAAAGCTGGCAGACCTGGAGGATGGCAGACTAATGTCTTGCAGAACCATCCTCCTCAAGGCAGAATTCAGGCTCCTTTTATACTAAAAAACAGGGGAGGGGTGTGGTTGGTTGGTGCAAACATCTTGGTATAGGAATTCTTTGTTCTTGTAGGTGTCCACGTGCACCAGGTCATGGTGCCCCTGTAAAACCTCCAACAAAACAAGTGTTATTTTCTATTCTGCAACTTGTTATCTTTCTGTAAGTGCAAAAGTGTTAATATCCTTAAAGGTCAGAGCCTTGAAAATAGGCTCTCCTCTGTATTTCAGGCTAAAGGCAACATTGTTTTGCAAAAGGTGCAGAGCTGGCAAGACTGAGCCTAGAAAACAGGGCACAGGGTAAAAACAAGAGACAGGTCTAATGTGGAGTCAGATTTGTTATTTCTACTACACTATCACATGTACACTTTTTCTAGACGTTTTAGGTCACGATTGCTTGCTAGAACACAAAATAGGCCAAAGGGGGACACCAGATATTGCAGACTGCCTCAGCTGGGGTGGTGCAGTGGAGTAGTCATTGGGTAAGTGTGTTGGCAGTGTGTGTGTTCACTACCCAAGTTTGTACAGTACTTTGTGTCATGCTCTCCCTCCTTGGTTGAGGGTGCCTGTCAGCACTCAGAGTGCAGGGAAAATGTATTTTTTTTAACTTTTTTTTTTATTGAGTTATAGTCAGTTTACAATGTGTCAATTTCCAGTGTAGAGCACAATTTTTCAGTTATACATAAACATACATATATTCATTGTCACATTATTTTTCACTGTGAGCTACCACAAGATCTTATATATATTTCCCTGTGCTATACAGTGTAATCTTGTTTATCTATTCTTCGTATGCCTGTCAGTATCTACAAATTTCGAACTCCCAGTCTGTCCCTTCCCATGCCGGGAAAACATATATTAATAGTATAGTATTATGAGTTAAATATGGAACATTTTTAAGGAAATCATTATATGTATGGTGGTATTAAAACAGGGTACATATATATGGTAAATTTATATTTAATCATTCATATTTCAACAGAGTTGATTATCCAAATTGAGTAACTACTAACTGTTATTACTGTCTTAAAGTGATTAATACTCTGTATGGTAACATGCTGATTGAAAGGCTTAAAACCACAAAATATGCATAACGTTGAAAAGAGTGAGTAGAATGTACATTGAACCAAAAAGGTAATTTGAAAAATCACAAAATTCTTAAAGTAAATATATAATTAGAGTGGTATTTTTTTAATGTTAAGTATGTTTATCCTAGGAGGCATAAAACTCATAACCACCATAAAGTAGTAGAAACCAGGAGGAAATTCTTTGGCTCTGTCATTGTCATTTATAAAGCCATTTTCAGTAGAAATGTTTTGACACGTGGCCTGTTTCATACTCATTCTCTCTTACAGTCCTGCACTCAAAGTAACCACTGTTGGGAGGACAGGGGGCTGAGTAGTTTTCCACTAAGTTTTTTTAGTTCATTCTGATTTTTTGTGGGGCTTTTTGGGGGGGTGGGGTGTAAGCAAGTTTATTTATTTATTTATTTTTTTTAGCGGAGGTACTGAGGATTGAACCCAGGGCTTCATGCATGCTAGGCGTGCACTCTACCGCTAAGCTATACCCACCGCCCTCATTATTCTGATTTTTTAATTGAAGTATAGTCAGTTCATTATTCTGATTTTAAGTTAACTAACTGGTTTTGTGTCATCACATTCCTACTTTAGATATATAATAGGACAGCTTCACTTGAAATCAGTATTCTAGGTAGGTTTCATAGCAGTGCGTTGAATTACGAGATGAACTTGGAAACAGATTCTGGTAACATTAAAGCTGAGTGTCTTGTCTTCCCTCCACTTGCTGCTAGGATCAGCTCTTACGAGTTCATGGGGGTCTTGGTAGAGAAAACCAGAGCAGCTAGTTTTCCTACATGGGCTGGAAAATGCTGGGAGGAAACACTGGAGTGCTGTAGACCTTGGGGACATTTTAGCATTGAAATCTGGGTTTCTCAAGGAGGGTTTGATAGAGGTCCCACCAAAATGTGTCAGTTCTCCCGACCTCTAAAAGGCTGAGCAGGAGCTGAAAGACCTGAATGTTCCTTGCTGTCTGAAGAGGACCACAGAGAGAGAAGCTTCCTGCAAGCTTCCTCAGAGGAATTCACAGCGTGCCTACTTCCCATTCCACCCTTGGCGTTCCTTACGTCGCAGTAATTGCAGCATTGTTCTTAGTGCCAAACAACTGGAAACAAAGTGAACACAGTTCACAGGGGAATGGCTGAATAAATTACAGTCCATCCACACCAAGGGAGATTGAATAACCACTTCCTTAGAAAAGAGGATGGATGTACACCAGTAAATTAGAAAGATTTCCAAGAAGTATTTTGTGAAAGAAAGGAGACGCAGAAAACTAAGTAAAACTATTGCTTTTTTTAAGAAAATGGCTTATTTCCCTTTTCTTTATGACTTTTTGTATGTGAGTTTCTATACATGAATTTATGTACATGTGAATAGGTGCATTTCCCATGTCGGATTAAATGAATAGAGAGGAAAATGTGGAAAGAAACCTACTAGTTTCAGCTGGATTACTTTGGTGGTGGGGGGGGTGACTAATGGGTGGAATGAAGAGGAGAGAGAGTGAAGGTAATTAAGCCAAAAGGAAAGGGGGGAAATACTGCACTATTTTTTTTAAATAGTAAAGTGAACCCACATTCCTTTCTTTGGCATGGTGGAACTCATCCTCTCATTAAACCATCCCAGCTGATTGTCATTCTGTTCACGTTCTCAAGGTGATACATAGCAGTATTGAAGTGTGGGATCTCTCTTTTTTTAATTCTTATTTTTCATTGACATGTAGTCGATTTACAATGTAAGTTTCCAGGGCACAGCAAAGCAATTCAGTTATACATGTATATGAATATGTCTTTTCAGTTTCTTTTCCAACTCATTACAAGAAATTGAATATAGTTCCCCTGTGCTCTACAGTAGGTCCTTGTTTATTTTATAAATAGTAATGTGTATCTGTTAACCTGAAACTCCTAATCTGTCTCTCCACCTTCCCTTTCCCCCGGTAACCACAGTTTGTTTTATATATTTGTAAGTCTATTTCTGGTTTGTAAATAAAATGTGTATCTTTTTTAGATTCCACATATAAGTGATGTCATGGTATTTGTCTTTGTCTGACTTCACTTAATATGACAATCTCTAGGTCCATCCATGTTGCTACAAATGACATTATTTCATTCTTTTTTATGTCTGAGTCATATTTCATTGTCTGTCTGTCTGTCTGTCTATCTCACATCTTCTTTACCCAGTCATCTGTCAAAGGACATTGAGGTTGTTTCCATGTACTGGCTATTGTAAATAGTGCTCCTGTGAACATCGGGGAGCATGTGTCTTTTCAAATTAATAGTTTTCTCCAGATATATGCCCAGGAGTGGGATTGCTGGCTCATATGGTAAGTCTGTTTTTATCTTTTTAAGGAACCTCCATACTGTCCTCCATAGTGGCTTCACCAATTTACATTCACACCAACAGTGTAGGAGGATTCCTTTTTCTCCATACCCTGTCCAGCATTTATTATTTGTAGACTTTTTAATGATGGCCAGTCTGACTGGTAAGAGGTGCTACCTCATAGTTTTGATTTGCATTTCTCTGATAATTAGCAATATTGAACTTTTTCTCATGTGCCTATTGGCCATTTGTATGTCTTCATTGAAGAATTGCTTGTTTAGGTCTTCTGCCTGTTTTGGATTGGGTTTTTTGTTGTTGTTGTTATTAAGTTGTATGAGCTGTCTGTATATTTTGGAAATTAGTCCCTTGTCAGTCACATTATTTACAAATATGTTCTCCCATTCTGTAGGTTGTGTTTTTGTTTTGTTTATGGTATCCTCAGCTGTGCAAAAGCTTTTAAGTTTAATGAGGTCCCATTTTTTTATTTTTCCTTTTATTTCCATTACTCTAGGAGATGGTTAAAAAAATACCTTTGTGATTTACGTCAAAAGAGTATTCTGCCTATGTTTTCCTCTAGAAGTTTTATAGTATCCAGTCTTACCTTTAGGTCTTTAATCCATTTTGAATTTATCTTTGTATATGGTATTAGAGAATGTTCTAATTACATTCTTTTACAGGTAGCTGTCCAGTTTTCCCAGCACCATTTAGTGAAGAAACTGTCTTCCCCCCATTGTATATTCTTGCCTCCTTTGTTGTAGATTAGTTGATGATAAGTGCATAGGTTTATTTCTGGGCTTTTTATCCTGTTCCATTGATCTATGTGTCTGTTTTTGTGCCGGTGCCATACTGTTTTGATTACTGTAACTTTGTAGTATAGTCTGAAGTCAGGGAGCATGATTCCCCCAGCTCCATTCTTCCTTCTCAAGATTGTTTTGGCTATTTGGGGTCTTTTATGGTTCCACACATATTTTAACAGTTTTTGGTC